GAGCTACTGAAGCTACGTGTTGACAGAACTTCCTACTCAATGGTTCTGGTCCGATCAGTTGATGGAACTCTCCTACTCAATGGTTCTGGTCCGATCAGTTGATGGAACCCTCCTACTCAACGGTTCTGGTCAGAACCTGGCAGAGAAGAACCATGGTTCTGATTCTGATCTGGTTCCGATTGGGTTGGGCCGGTTCTGGTTCTTGTCCAGTTGGGCTGTATCTGGTTCTGGTTCTGGTCCGGTTTTGATTTTTAGCAAAGCTGTTGATCATTGAGGGAAATCTTGGATGATTCAGCTGACGGAGGTTCTGCTCACCTGCTGGTTCTGGTTCTGACCCGGTTCTGTTTACCGACAGGCGTCCGGTCAGTCAGGCGGTACCAGGAGTTCGGCTGGTCTACAGCTGCTTCCCAGCAGGTAAGTCCAGTTGGATGAGCCGGTTCTGGTTCTGTTCCGGTGGGTCCGTTAACCCTGGGCCGTGTGTGCAGGCTGATCCAGTACCCCGTGGTTCCGGGTAAAGGTCGGATCTCTGTGACCCAGGAGGACCTGGCCTGTCTGGAGCCCGGAGAATTCCTGAACGATGTCATCATCGACTTCTACCTGCGGTACGGCGCCGCCTGTCCCTCTGAGCGCCTGCAGTTCCCTCCCTGACCAGCAGGTGTCTCCTGTCGCTGCAGGTACCTGGTCCTGGAGGGCGTCAGCGGTACGGTGGCCCAGAGGACCCACGTATTCAGCAGCTTCTTCTACAAACAGCTGAGCAGGCGGCGGGCGGCCGGAGAGAGCGATGCGCCGTCTGTCGTGTAAGAGCCGCCGTCACCGCCTCTGATCAAGTGATGATGTCACTCTGATGTCACTATTCTGCTTTGCAGCGACCGTCACGCCAGACATCAGAGAGTGAAGACATGGACGCGTCACGTGGACATTTTCACCAAAGACTTCCTGTTTGTGCCTGTCAATCAAGAGTGAGTTTCTCTTCTGGTTCTGGTAGGCGGGTCTGACCTGCTCTTCTGGTTCTGGTAGG